AAATCTAATCATGTTCCGTGTTTTAGGAAGCCATGACATAGGTGAACTTCCGCAAGACTATGTATTCTCTGATCCTGGCCATTTGGATAGCTCGAGCTTCATGCAGCAAATGTACGATACCATTCGTGATGAGCCTATGGATGTTGAAGCAAACAGAGATGCCACGCAGGCTAATAGCATTGAGCCGGGGATTCTATGCCCAGGTATATCTAACATCGGTAATACACTATTCGAGCAGTAGTTAAAGGAGTTAGGCAATTCGAAATTTGTTCCCCCTTTAATCACTTCCGCGCTTCATTCTATTTTAGACAAATTGAAGAATGCGGGCGTGAATATTAGGCACTGCTGGATTTTCAACTTTTAGCGACGGACAAATCTGTCGCTATAAGTCATTTTTCCGTCGCTAAAAGTTTTAGCGACAGAAAAAAAAATTTCCGTCGCTAAAACATCGACACTATAATAGGGGTGCCTAAAAACACTTTTAGCGACGGACATTCCGTCACTAAAATTTAGCGATGGGTTATTAGCGACGGTAAAGTGGTCGCTAGTTAAAAAAAATAAAAAATTGAAAAAACAATAGCGACGGATTTTCCGTCGCTAATATTAATATTAGCGACGGATTTTCCGTCGCTAAAACATTATTAGCGACGGATAAGCCGTCGCTAATGCTTTCTAATATTGTCCATATGTGATTTCGTGCAGGTTTTTCGTCGCTAAATAGTACTTTAGTGACGGAATTTCCGTTGCTAAAATTTTTTTTAGCAACGGAATTTCCGTCGCTAAAAATTTTAAAACAAATTGGAAAATATTTTGAAAATTGAAAAAACCCTGTACAATATCGATAATAATTTTTAAACACCTGTTCAATCAGCAGAAGAAAGCTTCAATCTTACGCAAATATCACATCTCACGCATATATCACACATTTAATTCAATAAAAGCAAGTAAAAGTTTCTCGACAGGTACATAATAAATATTGTTTATACAACACAAGAAATTGTTTTTAAAGTTATATTAAGGACAATCAATCCTCCTGATCATCATCATCATCATCATCCTCATCCCCACCCCCAGCCACATTATGACTACCCCCGGCTGCACCTTGTGAAGATGTCCCGGCCTGTAAATATAAATCAAATGTTAACTTGTGTGTGTAAACGTTAATAAGAGTACAAATATGAATATACTACAACACAACACCACAACATCACAACACAACAACACAACACCACAACACCACAACACTACACCATCACAACACAACAACACAACACCACAACACCACAACACCACAACACAACAACCCTAAACTATCACAACACAACACAACACTACACTCCACAACACATCACCACACATCACACCATAACACAACACCACCACCACAAATCCTCACCCTCACCCACCAACCAACAACACTCCCCCTCGCCCTACCCCTCCCCCTCAACCACCACCACAACAAAATCCCCACTCCTCATCCTCAACCACGATCAAAGCCCCCACCCACCAACCAATCATACTCTACACACCCCCTCCCCCTCCATGCACGCAAGTATAAATTTTGAGGTTTGTGTTAGGGTTAGAGTTAGGGTTTGTATGTAACAGTTTGTATCAGTATGTATTAGTGTGCACGATATCATCTAATTAAAAAAAAAGCAAAGTATATATATTACCTGTGACGACAAAAACCGTCTCCTATATGCCTCCTGAGCCTCCTGAGGCAGAGTCGACATGAATTGTGTGAACTCCAATACGGTCTGCTCCCGCTGTAGGTAAATCTGAGTTCCTTTCTCTTCCCTCCCTTTTTGTATATATCCAGTGATAAACACGTAAAATATGCATTATCTTAGTGTGTTTCAACTATGATTTACGAGTGTTTAATGTATATTTCGTGTTTAGATCGAGGATATTGTTGTGGTTTGTGTTCTTATATGTAGGTATTGGCTCAAGATTAAAAGATTTGATGATCGTTGGAAGTTGAACAAGAGTTTGAAGCAACAACAAGATTTCGAAAGCATGGTTCGTGAAGAAAATGGATGCGCGAGTATGAAGAACTGGAATTTTGACCATTGATACAGTTTTAATTTAGAAAAACTCAAAAGATAAAAGTTATAGATCTCTTCAACAGGTTTCCAACACAACTTGAATCACCTCATTCAGGGGTTGGACTCAAAAGTTATAGCCAAAATACCGAATACTAAACAAATAAGCACAAAATCAGCAAAAAACAGATTCCACCACACCCTGGTGTGGTGCGTGCCACACCCATGGCGCGGACCTTATCTTTTTCCAGATTTTTTAGGGACATATAAATAGATATTTTGACTTAGGGTTTGGATATCTTTTTTATGTTCTCTTAGCCATCAATTAGCAATTATTTTAGAGTTCAAGCATTGAGGAAAGACACTAATTTCTTTTACAAGATTAGATTGCAAATTTTGATTTTGAAGATCTCAAATGAAAGACGGGTTAATTCTTTCCTTTCTCTGATTTATTTCTTCTTATGATTGATTTGCATAATTATTTGATGTATTCTCGTATCCCAATCATGTGTGAGTAGATTTCTTGTCTAGGATTGGGAAAGAACCCAACTTTTTGGTGATTGATGATGAATTGATATAGGTTCTTGGTGAAAGTTTAAATCTTTAAACTTGTTTTATAGTGTTTTAATTTTGTTGATTCGCTTGATCACCGTATTAGCAATCATAGGTAATTAATTGAAGGGCTGAAAGGTGAAGATTAATACCGGATCTCTAGAAATTAAGTAGGGAGCTCGAACCACGAAAGTAGGCTAGATTCCTTGGAGATTTGATTTGGATTAGCATGAAGCTTAATGAGTTTAATTTAATCTCGATTCCACAAAAGTAGGTTAATTGAGATTAATTAGGCACGATTTTTAGACCTTGAAAGAGGCTTTAGATTAATTTAGGTTAATTCACCATTTTTAGTTTAAACCAACACCGAGAACTGAAATAATTCATCATTGAGCATAGAAGTTATGGTGATAACCTAATCCTGGCTCTTCATTATATTGAATTTCCACCTGATTAGTTATTATTTTATTTCTTTTAATTTTCATCTCTTCTAATTTACTCATTAGTTTAGCTAGTAGAATAAAGTGAAATTTGGTAATTAACCCTAGTCCTTGTGGGATCGACCTTGATAGCTACAACGAGTCTGTGCGCTTGTAGATTTTGTCTACCAAGTTTTTGGTGCCTTTGCCGGGGACTACGGTGTTAATATTGAGTGCTTACGTTATTAAGCTAGACTAGATTTTTTTATTTTCTCTTCGCTACTCACTTTCTTTTATGCAAGGGCATCAAACAGAAGTACACAATGAAAACAATCCTGAACTATCGGTGACTCTTGCAGAGATAAGAATGTATATAAGGGAGCAAAGGAACACAGAACAAGCTACAATGGGTGATCAGAATCAGCTTTTTAAGGATTTCGCTGCCCCAAATGCTCAAGGCATGCATTCAAGTATTACAAGGCCCACTGTTGAAGCTAATAATTTTGAGCTAAAACCATCACTGCTCTCAATGGTTCAGCAAAATCAGTTTGGAGGAGGTGCTACTGAAGACCCGAATCTCCGCCTGTCAATTTTCTTGGAGTATTGCGACACTTTGAAGCTTAATGGAGTGACCAATGATGCTATTCGACTCAGACTTTTTCCATTCTCTTTAAAGGATAAGGCTAGGGCTTGGTTGCACTCATTGCCCGCTGGGTCCATCACCACTTGGGATCAGTTGTCTAGGGCATTTCTTGCAAAGTATTTTCCCCCAAGTAAAATAGCACAGATGAGGAACCGGATCACAAGCTTTGTACAGAAGGAAGGAGAGTCACTTTATGAAGCTTGGGAACGCTACAAGGAATTATTGAGGATGTGCCCTCACCATGGACTGGAGAAGTGGTTAATTGTTCACACCTTCTACAACGGGCTCACTTATAACACTCGGATGACTATTGATGCTGCTGTAGGAGGAGCTTTGATGAACAAAACAATAGATGAGGCATACACTCTCATTGAAGACATGGCTCAAAATTACTATCAATGGGCGAACGATCGGGCTCAGACATCAAAAGGTGGCAAGTATGAAATAGATGCTTTAGATCATATATCCTCTAAAAATGATGCTTTATTTAAAAAGGTTGAAAGCTTGAGTATTAATTCTGTGGCGTCTACTTCAATTGCATGTGAGATATGCGGTTATGTGGGTCATTCTGCACTTGAACGTCAATTAGGAAACCCCTCATCCCTTAATACTTCTAATAATGAACATGTTAACTATGTTAATAACTTTAATTAGAAGGGAGACCCTTTCTCCAACACTTATAATCCGAGGTGGAGGAATCCTCCAAATTTTTCTTATAGAAACCCACCTGGAAATTCTATGCCCGCATCTAATTTTGATCCACCTGGTTTTCGTGCTCCTCAATCTAATCTCCCTCCCCAAAGGTCTAATTTGGAAAATATGATGGAAAAGTTTATGATGACTCAGTCAAAATTGAATGAAGAGTTTAAGCAACAACAACAAACGACGAATGAGGTAGTAAAACAATTGGCCTCTAAGATGGATTCCCTAGCTACGCATAACAAGATGTTAGAGACACAAATCACTCAATTGGCGCAAAATGCTAGCTCTTCCTCTAGGCCTTCAGGCATGCTACCTGGACAACCTGAGACGAATACCAGAGGTCATGTGAATGCTATAACCCTTAGGAGTGGAAAACAATATGAGGGACCTAAGATGAAGGAAAATGATGGGGGAGATGGTCATCATGAAGAGAAAACTAAAATTGTGATAGATGTGGATAATGAGACCCAGATGCAGGAAGAAGAAAAAGTTTAGAAATATGTGACCCCCGCTCCTTACAAGCCTCCTCTACCCTTTCCCCAAAGGTTAGCTAAGGCTAAGTTAGAAAAGCAGTTCGGAAATTTTTTGGAGATTTTAAAAAAGTTGCACATCAATATCCCGTTCACTGAAGCTATCTCTCAAATGCCTTCCTATGTTAAGTTCTTGAAAGAGATCCTATCCAATAAAAGGAAGTTGGAAGAATACGAGACTGTGGCCCTTACTGAGGAGTGTAGTGCTATCATCCAGAATAAGCTGCCTCCTAAGCTTAAGGATCCAGGTTCATTTTCTATTCCTTGTGTTATTGGTAATGTCTCTATTAACCGTGCTTTGTGTGATTTAGGTGCAAGCGTAAGTTTGATGCCGATGTCTATTTGTAAGAAGCTTGGCATAGGTGATTTGAAGCCAACCACGATATCACTCTAATTAGCGGATCGATCAGTAAAATATCCGGTAGGTATACTTGAAGATGTACCTATCCAGGTCGGTAAGTTCTTCATCCCGGTTGATTTTGTTATTTTGGAAATTGAAGAAGATTCTAACATTCCAATTATATTAGGAAGACCCTTCTTTGCTATTGCAGGTGCTATAATTGATGTTAAAAATGGAAGGCTCTCTCTAAATATTGGAGGGGAGACGGTAGAATTTAATTTAAGCAATGCTATGAAACTTCCTCTAACTGATAAAATTTGTTACAGGGTCGACGTCATTGACAAGTGTACACATGAGCAAATTACAAACAATAACTCAGCTGATCCACTTGAGAAATATTTGGTAAGTGATGGTTCAATAAATGATGAAGACCCTGAGGTAGCCGCGTATGCTCAATCTTTAGAATCAACATCAACTGCTCCACTTCGAAATGCAAAGCTTGAAAGATTGATGCTAGAGCCAAAAGGATCTATTTGTGAAAAGGATAATGCGCCAAAGGTAGAATTAAAACCCCTTCCTTCCTCTTTAAGGTATGAATTTCTTGGCCCTGACTCTACTTATCATGTGATTGTGAATGCATGTCTAAATGAAAATGAAACTGATAAGTTGCTTAGAACACTTAGGGTGCATCGCAGGGTCATAGGATACACCATGGACGACATTAAAGGAATCAACCCATCGATTTGCATGTATAGAATTCTCTTGGAAGATGATCATAAACCCTCTATAGAGCACTAACATAGATTAAATCCTAACATGAAGGAAGTGGTTAAAAAAGAGGTGCTTAAGCTACTAGATGCTGGGGGTAATCTATCCTATTTCTGATAGTGAATGGGTTAGCCCGGTCCATGTGGTTCCTAAAAAAGGGGGTGTGACCGTAGTCAATAATGCGAATAATGAACTTATCCCTACTACGACAGTTACGGGTTGGAGGATGTGTATTGATTATAGAAAATTGAACAAGGCAAGCAGAAAAGATCATTTTCCACTTCCCTTTATTGACCAGATGTTGGAAATGTTGGCTAGGCATTCCTATTTTTGTTATTTAGATGGCTATTTGGGATTTTTCCAAATCCCTATTCATCCTAGTGACCAAGAAAAGACCACTTTTACTTGTCCTTATGGGACCTTTGCTTATAGGCGCATGTCTTTCGGTCTTTGTAATGCCCCTGCCACTTTTCAACGATGTATGATGGCTATTTTCTCTAATTTTATAGAAGATAGTATGGACGTGTTTATGGATGACTTCTCCGTGTACGGGACTACTTTTGATGGTTGCTTAGCTAACTTGTTTTGAGTTTTGCAGCGTTGCGAAGAAGTTAATTTAGTCCTAAATTGGGAGAAATGCCATTTTATGGTAAGGGATGGAATAGTTCTAGGACACAAGGTGTCCGAGCAAGGAATTGAAGTTGATCGTGCAAAAATGGAAATCATTGAAAAATTACCGCCACCAACGTCGGTTAGGGGAGTAAGAAGTTTCTTAGGATATCCCGGTTTCTATCAGCGTTTCATCAAAGACTTTTCGAAAATTGCAAAACTCTTAACTAAACTTCTTCTTAAAGATGCTCCCTATGATTTCACTGATGAATGTCTTGATGCTTTTTATAGGTTGAAGGAAGCATTGATAACAACTCCTATTATGCAACCGCCGGATTGGAATCTCTCATTTAAAGTCATGACTGATGCAAGTGATTACGTGGTTGGTGTTGTGTTGTGTCAAAGAAAGGACAAGATAGTTCATGCAATTTATTATGCTAGTCATACTCTTGATGAGGCCCAAGTTAACTATGCTACTACTGAAAAGGAGTTATTAGCAGTTGTTTTCGCCTTTGACAAGTTCAGGTCTTACTTAGTAGGGTCAAAAGTCATCGTTTATACCGATCATTCCGACATAAAATATCTTTTGAGCAAGCAAGATGCCAAGCCTAGGTTGATTCGATGAATACTACTTTTGCAAGAATTTGACCTAGAGATAAAGGATAAGAAAGGGATAGAAAATTTGGTGGCAGACCATTTGTCGAGGATGAAACCAGAATCACATGATAGGGAGGAGGATGAACTACCGATCGACGAATCTTTCCCAGATGATCAATTGTTAGCCATAGAAAGATTGGATGCACCATGGTATGCAGACTTCGTCAACTACATAGTGTGTGGAGTTTTGCCTCTAGATCTGAGCTATCAACAGAAGAAGAAGTTCTTTGCTCACTTGAAGTATTATTTTTGGGATGAACCATTTCTATACAAACGGTGTGTTGATGGGATGTTTAGAAGGTGCGTTCCTGAAGATGAGGTTACAAGTATTCTCCATCATTGCCATTCATCTTCTTACGGAGGACATGCAAGCACTTCAAAGATAGCTGCAAAAGTTTTATAATCAGGTTTCTATTGGCCGAGTCTTTTTCGGGATGCAAATCAGTTTGTGAAATTTTGTGATAGTTGTCAGAGGACCGGGAACATTTCGAAGCGACATGAGATGCCTTTACACTCCATCTTGGAAATTTAGGTCTTTGATGTGTGGGGCATTGATTTCATGGGACCGTTTCCGTCATCGTGTAATAACAAGTTCATCTTAGTGGCGGTGGATTACGTCTCCAAATGGGTAGAAGCGATAGCATCCCCCACCAACAATGCCAAAGTGGTTGTGAAACTATTCAAGAATGTCATTTTTTCAAGGTTTGGGGTACCACGGAGAGTAATTAGTGATGGCGGTTCACACTTCATAGAAAGAAAATTCGAAGCTCTCTTAAGACAATATGGAGTCACTCATAAGGTTTCCACGCCATACCATCCTCAAACTAGTAGTCAAGTGGAGGTTTCAAATCGAGAAATCAAGAGTATCTTGAAAAAACAGTTAATCGTTCGAGAAAGGACTGGTCTATGAAACTCTCTGATGCTTTATGGGCCTATCAAACTGCCTACAAAACACTCATAGGTATGACACCACACAAGTTGGTGTATGGCAAATCATGTCATCTCCCAGTTGAGTTAGAGCACAAGGCGTATTGGGCTATCAAGTTGCTCAATTTCGATATGAAGACCGCAGGTGAGAAAAGAAAGCTTCAACTTTATGAGCTAGATGAGCTACGATTAGATTCCTATGAGAATGCTCGCATTTATAAAGAAAAACTAAACAATGGCACGATAAGAATATCCTTCGAAGAGAGTTTAATCAAGGAGATATGGTATTACTTTTCAACTCTCGTTTGAAGCTTTTTCCGGGCAAGCTCAAGTTAGATGGTCCGGACCGTTTCAAATCCGTGAGGTCTTTCCTAGTGGAGTTGTTGAAGTTTGGAGTGAAACAATAGGATCTTTCAAGGTGAATGGGCAACGATTGAGGCACTACATTGTAGGGGAACAAAACGAGAAAGGGGTCACGTATACCCTTTCGGACCCCCCTTCGTCGGAGAATTGAGCGAAAAAGGGTTCGAGCTCATGACCATAAATGAGCGTTTCTTAGGAGGCAACCCAAGTTTTCATCCATTCTCATTCTTTTATTTTCTCTTATTTTATTTCATTCTATTTTTTTTTTTTTTTTTTTTTTTTTTTTTTTTTTTTTTTTTTTTTTTTTTTTTTTAGGCAATTAGATCGGCACAAATTTAACTTATACTATTTTCGATCATGCAGTTGTGAAGAAAGGAAGACATGGCATTAACTAAGGAATGAAAAAAAACTGCAAAAAAAAGAGTTAAAATGGGATAGCAGACTCTACCACACTCATGATCCACAGGAAAAAAATTCAGAGGCCATCACACCCATATGCCACACCCATGGTTCGCTGCAGGAAAAGCTGGACACCAATTCCGGACTAATAACCAACACCCATCTGCCACAGCCCATGGTTCGCACAGCCCTGGTTTGAAAAAAAAAAGAAGACATCGCAGAGCCCACCAGCACCAGCCGCCACACCCGTGGGTCACTAGGTTTAAAAAAATTAAAAAGAAAAATAAATCTCCCTTTTCAACCGCAGCAACGCAAAGCCCGCACCCCTGCTTCTTTTGCCCCTAATCGCTAAGCGGCGCGGCACGCTCTCAAACCACCGGCCATGCCTCGCTGCCACTGCTTCCTGATCTAAGCGCGCCTGCCAGCATGCATCCTCCGACGCATCTCATCGCCCTCTGCACATCATCTCCGACCGAAAGCCACTTAGGCGCGGCCCACATCCCCTCTGCCATTCCCGACTCTTCGATCAGCGAGACACGCGCCCTGCATCGGCTTCAACCATTCTTGCTTAGCGCGACGGTAACCGGCAACAAACCACCGTGGCCACGTCTCGTCCTTCGTCATCATTACGCCGACCTCCTCACTCTTACCAAGCCAACGCACAGGGCATAACGCGCCGGCCTCCACTTTTCCTCATCACCACTTTCGCTCGTCTTTCCCCTACATCACCGGCCTCCACCCATTCATCCCCTCCGACCAAAACGCCGCAGCCACCCCTCTTTCCCCTCACAACCAGCGGCCGACCAAAATCCCCTACCACTGTTTCGAGTTCGCCGCTACAACACCAACTCCATTTCACACCAACCAGCAACTGCCTTCAAAATCTGCTATCAATTGCATTTCGAGAGACTAAATGGGACCTAAGTGGGGACGGCCTAGTTAGGGAGCCTCAACTTCTACAGCGCGACAACACAAAGGTAACTCTCCCCCTCCCCAAAATCCTCATGGTATAGAATTTGTCAATGCACAACAACAATATAGGTATAATATACTGGTTAAGCGGGGAATTTTGAGTACCTGCTATTTGGATGAGAATTGTTTGCGTAAGTTAGGACTGTGGGATGATGTTTCATACCTCCTAAGACGGGTTGGTTGGTTAAATTTTGTAGAGGCTAAACACCCCACGAACGAGCATATTACTCTCGAATTTTTTAGCTCTCTTGATGTTGTTTTATTTAATGGTGAGGGCGTAAAGGAAGGGAAAATCACTTTCAGGCTATTTAACCAGTCTCACACACTTACATTAGCACAATTAAATCAAATATTTGGTTTTTCGGAGGGTGGGGCTAGAATTGTTCCTAAAAATCCCCCTTTTGGATTTCTATCGCACACTCTACCACTCAAAGAACCTATGATCCCTCTTTGTCACGAGCCTCTGCTATTTATAACCCATGCTTTAGATATTTACAGAGGTTCATGGCTTTCACCATTTTTGGTCGAGGCGAGAGTGATGGAGTCATGTGTCAGAGAGAGCTATACCTTTTATGTGCCATGGTTGAGGGACATAAGGTTGATACAGGAGCTTTTATGATTCATCATATGTGTTGTGCAGCGAGATCAACGAGTGGAAAAATTATGTTAGGTGGCTTGATTACCACTTTAGCTTGCGGGATGGGTTTAGGAGAGTTTGTAGAGGGACTTCATCCATTAAGCCCTAGTGCGTCCATTAACCTTGATGCTTGTCTACATATGAAATTGATTAGTAATAAGGGCAATAGGTTATGGTTATGTTTTCAGGATAATTATCTTTTCCCACTCCCTGATCTTGATCACACGACCATCCATGTTCACGCTAATTGGTCCTACCTCACATCTGATTTTGTGAATTGTGATGGTCATGAGGTTGTACCAACTGAGGATGCTGACACGGTACCCCCGATCCCTATTCAGGCTGAGCCTACCAGGGGAACTAACTCTTTCCATCACCTTGATTGGTCAGCGGAATTATCAGCTATCCATATTTCTCTTGTCTCTCTTACTAACCGTGTAGGTGCCATCGAGCAAGAGCAACAACG